ACACACACACATACACACACACATATACATACATACATATATATGTATATATATATGTATATATACATATATATATGGCAACACCACTGCCTTTATTATTATAAGCTTATAATTAGTTATAAAACTAGGTAGTATAAAGTCTTCCAACTTTATTCTTCATTTTCAAATTTCCTTAGCTACCTTAAGTCATTTGCATTTTCATACAAATTTTAGAATCAGTTTGTCAATTGTTGCACAAAAGACTGCTGAGTTTCTGAGATTACAATGAATCTCCAGATAAGTCAGAGGAGAATTTACATCTTTAATAATATTATGGTCCATAAACAGGGCTTATCTTTCTTTAGATTTTCTTTAACTCCCCCAGCAATATTTTGTGATTTTCAGTGTATATAACCTACACATCTTTTTTTTTTAAATTTTTTTAACGTTTATTTATTTTTGAGACAGAGAGAGACAGAGCATGAACGGGGGAGGGTCAGAGAGAGGGAAACACAGAATCTGAAACAGGCTCCAGGCTCTGAGCTGTCAGCACAGAGCCCGACATGGGGCTTGAACTCACTGACCGCGAGATCATGACCTGAGCCGAAGTCGGCCGCTTAACCGACTGAGCCACCCAGGCGCCCCTATACATCTTTTATAAAAGTTTTTACCTAAGTATTTGGTAGTTTTTAATGCTCTTATAAACAGCATTTAAAATTTTTCCAGTTTATAACTCCTTTGCAAGTATATAAAATACAATTGAATTTTGTAAATTCTTATTTCCCACAAGTTTGTTTTTTTTGTTTTTTTTTTTTGTTTTTTTTGGTATCTATTGAGATGATCATGTGAATCTGTAATGATATTCCCTCTCTATTCTTGTTATCAGTAATTGAATGTGTATTTTTCATTTGTGTATGTTCTTAAAAATACACATTGCTATTTTGTATGCATGTATTTTTTTAATGTGTGTAAATGGTATTGTTATATTAGTCCATTTCTTTTTTTACTTGTTTGCACCACAGAATATGCTTTTACAATCAATTTCTATTTCTTCTGATGGCTACATAATATGCAATGGTGGTATCCCATACATTTTACCTGTTTGCTCTCTGAGTGATGGTCTTACAGGTTGCCTCCAACTCCCTGACTCCACAAACAATGCTGCAATGAACATCCTTGTACATATTCTCTTATAAACCTGGATTATAAGTTTTTGGGAGTATGCATACCCAGGAGCTCAATAGCTGAATTATAAAATATGCATATACTGAATTTGACTACCTGAAAGGGAATGTTCTCCAGAATAGCTCCACCATTTCATAATCCTGCCAGTCTGAGGGATATAGGGAATCCTATATCTCTGCTAACCTTGCCAATATCCAGCCTTCTCATTTTTCCTCATGTAAATTGTAGAAAATGATATCTCACTGTAGTTTAACTTCAATCTCTCTGATTGCCAATGGTTTTAAACAGTTCTGCATATATTTTTTGTCTTTTTGTGGATTTCCACTCCTGAAAATTGCCATGTAGATCCTTTGCTTTGAGTTTTCCTTTTTCTGGTTGATTTTCAGGAATTTCTTGTATCTTGTAAATGTCAATCTTTTGTCCGTTTTAAACATTGTGAACTTTATTTATTTATTTATTTATTTATTTATTTATTTATTTTCTGCATAGTCCCCTTCATTGATAAGAAATCTTTTTTTTTTTTAAATTATACTCTTGGGGCGCTTGGGTGACTCCATTGGTTACGTGTCCGACTCTTGATTTCTGTTCAGGTCATGACCTCACAGTGAGTTCGAACCCTGCATCGGGCTCTGTACTGACAGCATGGAGCCTGTTTGCGATTCTCTGTACCTCTCTCTCTCTGCTCTGCCCCACTCACATGCTTTCACCGTATCCCTCAAAATAAATAAATAAACTGAAAAATAAATGTTTTTATGATATATGAAGTCTTGTTTTAATAATGAAATCCAATTCGTATCTGTTTCCTTATTGCTCACTTCCTTGTTTTTTAACATTTTGTGTGGGAAATTCTTCCCCATATCTAAGTCACAAAGATATTCTTCAACGTGTTCTATTTATGTTTTTGCCTTCTTCTGTTAACTTTATTTTTTACTTTTCTTATTTGTCCTTTTAATCCACGTAATACCACCTCTGTATGTGGTATTCAGTAAGGGATCCGGTTTTCCTCTTCTGGTCTTTAAGAGAGGAATGTGTCCCGGGCCTACATGCAGCCTGGCAGGGAGAGAGCTAGGACATAGCTATCCCTCTTCCATCTCCTTTTCCCTCCAGTGTCCCTCCTGTGCCTCTCGATGGCCAAACTCAGTTAGGAATCACAGGGCAAGGGAGTAGTTAATGCAACGCAGAGACGCCAGACTCTTGGCGCGAGAGTAGAGTAGAGCAGGGTGGGGAAAAAACCAAAAAGGGTGAACAGAGAATATCTATCATGATACACGTGTGAGAGTGAGTGTATGTGTCTCTGAGTTCTCTATTCTTTACCAGTGGTGTATTGGTCTATCCAGTCTTGTGCCAGTACTACAGTGTGTTAATTACCATGTTTTTGTAGCATGTCGGCATCTGGAAAAGTGAGTTCTTCTCTCTTCATCTTTCTTTTTTTATGTTTAAAGTTTTTAGGTTAAACACATTTGTATTCCTCCATGTACCTTTTGGAGTATGTGTACTGAGTTCTCAAAAGATCAACTGGAATTTTGATTGGCCTCGTATTAAATGTTTATATTGATTTCAGAGAAGGGACTTTTTTTTAAATGTTTATTTTTGAGAGAGAGAGAGAGAGAGAGTGCGCGCGCACAAGCAGGGAGGGACAGAGAGAGAGGGAGACAGAATCTGAAACAGGCTCCAGGCTCTGAGCTGTCAGCACAGAGCCTGACGCGGGGCTTGAACCCACAGGCCACAAGATCATGACCTGAGCTGAAGTCGGATGCTGAACCAACTGAGCCACCCAGGAGCCCCTTAGTGTTATAATTCTTTATGGTAATACCAAGGATTAAGGTTATTTTCTCTCTTTGACCTTTTTTTCCCCATCCAGTGACTAACTTTTTTGTAAACTAGTGTTCATTCCATTCTCACATATCTCTTCCTTCTCTCAGCTCCACCGGACGCCCACACCCAGCAGTTGGGAGATCAGAAAGACACCATCTGCTGATTAATAAACAGACATGTATTCACTTATAAGTTGATTGAATCAGGGTGTCTCTTGATGTCCCTGTTCTGAATGTTCATACATTCCACCACATACTCCCTTATCTAAGTCACACCCAGAGGCTATGTGGCTCGGATGAATCACATCTGAACTGACCATCCTCCCTGGAATCCATGGGCTGCAGAGGACGTGAATTTAGCCAAAGTGGACACCTGCCATGGACTCAGAACAGGAGTGGTTCTGGAGGAGCACATCTTTACAGAGTCCATTTGGGGCCCTGACCGCAAGGCCTGAGGATCATGGATGGTGCTTCTGTGGAGCACTCCCTGCATGCTCAGTCCTGGGTTGTGCGGAGCATGTGATGGAACCAGAATAAATCAAAAGACCTGGGTCCTAGCACCTCAGATAGAAGAGAGGAATGGTGGCTGGTTTGGGACAGCAAGTTAAGGCATTTCGTGGGCTTTTTATCTATCTAGGCCAGATTGGGACCTAGCACCCCACAATGTCCCCCAAACGAATTAATATTCTGCCTCAAGATCCACAAATCTCTCCAGCCCCTCTGAGCTCGCTGACTTCCCCTCTCGCTCTGGAGCGTGTTCATTTCCCTGGGCGTTGCAAGCGCTTGCGCTCTCAGGGCTCGGCTGGGGCCTTGGTCTGCCCTCCTCCAAGTGGAGACGAAGAGCTACAGAGGTACGGGGGCCCCTCAGCCATTCACCTGCGGTATCTCCAGCTCAGTGTCCCAGAGACATTAAGAGTCAAAGGGGAGATGATTTGCTTTGTTTTTTAAAGAGATGCTGAAGAAGCAGAATGAAGCACAAAGTCAAGAGGAGTCCGTCATTCCACTGCCCAAAGGTTTACAGGCGGAAAAAAATCCTTTCATGAGAAGGGTACTCACACCAGTTTGCAAGGCACTTCCAGTTTCCAGAAGGGACACCGAGGCCCCCCGGTTTAAAAGGGCTTGTCCAAAATGTTGTACAAAGTCAGTGACAGAACTGAGACTAAAATCCGTGTACTCTTTGTCCCAGTCTGAGTTTCCACCCTGCACAGCTGGTGGGGGCGCTTAGGACAGACCGAGGAGGGGGATGAGTGGCCCTATGTGGGCAGGCGTGCACCCGAGAGGCCAGGACAGAGCCGGGGGCTACGGTCAGCTCTCCAGGGCCTGCATATCTCTCGCTGGGAGCTCAGGCCAGTCCTTGCTTTCTGTCTCAGTCTTCTGTCCTGCAAGCTTGGGCTTTTCAGAAGTGCTACCATCAGCACAGCAGGGCTGATCCAGGGTGGCAACCAGGAGCCGTGTCTGTTGGTACGTGCCCGATCGCTCCAGACCAGCTCCAAGCTGCACACCCACCCACCACTGAAAGCAGGGGCTGAAAGCCCCTGGTGGTTACTGCCACTGCAGCTGGAACATGAATGTTAGGTCAGACAGACCCAAATTCAGAACCCAAATCTTACCTGTTCCTAGTCGTACCAGCTTATGCAAGCTGCCTTCTGAGCCTCAGTTTCGGAATGTGATTTTCACACCGACCCAGGCGAAGAATGCCTGTTAGGGAACCGAGAGTCCAAGGTGGATCGGCCGCACCGCCACCACACTGACCATATGAAGGGTGGGTCATGGCCAAGGGGGCCGTCACTCCCCTGCGCCGTGCATTAACCCTCACACCGGCCAGCTCAGGGAGGTGTGATGCTCATCCCATTTTACAGATGAGAAAACAGGCTGAACGGGTGAGCACTATTTTTGCTATCTCGTATGTTCCTCATGTGTTTCCTGAGATAGGCAAGGAATTCCCTCCCACTGTACTGGGGAGAAGCTGAGGCATAGAGAAGATAAACGGTGTGCCCTGGGGGTCAGCAAAAAGGAGTCGATAGAGGGGCTGGGTCTGAGTCCAGATTCCCTGGCTCCCATCTCAGGGTCCCCCCGCCCCAGCCTATCCTTGCTATACAAGCCCCGGGGAAGGCATCCTGCCCTGGAGTGGTGCTCCCCAGGCCAGCCTCACCCCTCCCACCAGGGAAACACCGCCCTTATCCCCCTGCCAGACAGCCTTGTTGCCCAACTTGCGGGCAGGAGCCAAGCCTGGCAGCCTTTGGTGGGCATCCAAGTCGAACTGCTCTTTCCTGCGCCGAGTTTAGCACGCAGCACGGCTTCATCATCCAAATATGTCCTGCCAGACAGGCCTCAGCTGCTGGCCGCCGGGGCACTTGGCGTCCTGAGAGAGCTTGGCGCTAATTGGGCCCAGCCAACATAAATCGTGGCTCTCATTAAGAGGAAGTCCAGCCGTTCTCTGGCAGAAAAGGGGTGAGAGGTGGGGAAGGATGGCAGGGTCAAGAACCTCCCACCAAAAGGGGGTTGAGTCCTGCAGTGGCCCTGGGACCTTAGCAAGTGTCCGGATCGCACTGGCCCTCTCTGTCCATCTACCCATCTAAAGGTTTCGGAGGCAGCACCCAATCATCTCTGATAGTTCACACCAAACTATAGAGCTGTCCTGTTGCTTTGGGGCAGTGGGGGGTAGGGGGCGTGTTGTTTTTCCTTTCCGCTTGGAACACCATCAGGGGTAAATCTTGTTACATTCTGTGGAGCGGTGGGGCTGTGTCTGCCACTTGACTTGGGGGAGCTGAGAGAAAGTCCTCCCCACAAACGAGAGATCTCCCTGGGGCTGCTTTGCTGTCTGGAACCTTTGTAGCAGAAGGCCCGGATTCCCCCTGAAACAGCAAGGCGCTCCGGTAGGGCCACCTTCCCAGCTAAGCCGGCTCACTCACTGACAGGCAGGCAGGAGGCTGCTTCTTGGGGTCTAAGAGCTGTCCTGAGCTGAAAACAATGGTCAGCTGTGCTGAGACGACTGGAAAATATCAGGTCAGTTTGAAAACAGTTTATACCAAGCTTGCAACTTCTGACCTTGCCAAGCATGCATGCACTTAACCACCCATGTAACCCACTGCTGCATTCACTCACACCCTCCACATTTATGAAGCGCTAGCTGTGTGCCCAGTACCATGTGGGGTGCTGGGAATATTGACGAACCTGACTGAATCGTCACCTTATCCAGAGTCATGGTCTACGGAGAAGGACACACAGCTGGAAAATCAATGCCGATCCTATACCAAAGATACATGCGAGGTCCTCTGAGGACAGAGGCAGAAGTTACGGGCTCTGACTCAAGGGGGAGGTGGTGGAGGGCGCAGACCGCGTTCCCAGAGAAGGTGGCATCAGCAGTGCCTTGGAGAGTAAGTTGAAAGCACAGGAGAGGACAGTAGAGGAGAGCGAGAGTGTGAGCAAAAGCTGAGCAGAAAGACAAAAGGGATGCTCTGGTCAGAGAACAGAACAACGGAGTTCTGTATAGTTAGAGGGAGGATGCACAGTGAGGGAGTGGGGGATAAAAACCGTAGCTGAGGCTGAGGCTTGGGCTTAAACAATGTCCCAGCTGGGGTTGGGGGGGAGGTTTGTTCCAGTGATATTTACATCAGTTCCCAAATACTGTGTATCAGAAACCCCTGGAGAGCCTTTGCAAAATACAAATCACCAGTCCCTACCCCTGAGATTCTGATGTAGCTGGCATGGTGGGGCCAGCAGTCTGCATTTTAAAACCAGCTCCCTAGGTAGTTCTGAGGTAGCTAACTAATGGCCTAGCTTCGCTTAAAAATGCAAGACGCTGATAAATGCATCAGAAAAAAATAGCAGAATTGGGAGACAGAGAATTCTTGAAGGAGGGGGTGGCAGAATTTTAAACAGCAAGGTCAGGGAATGGAAGATCTGAAGGAGTAAAGGAGAGAGCCATGAGGAAACCCGGGGGAAGACCACTCCAGGAAGTGAAAACAGCAGGTGCAAAGGTCCTGTGGCAGGGCTGACTGATGTCTTGAAGGAAGAATTAGGAGGCCAGTGCTACTAGAATATAGGAGATGAGGTCAGAGAGGCAGTTGGGGCAGGCAGGTTGTGTAGGGTCTATTCTCCAGCCTTTTTTTTTTTTTTCAACAAAAACGTTTTCTTTAATGTTTATTTATTTTTGACAGAGACACAGAGCATGAGTGGGGGAGGGACAGAGAGAGAGAGGGAGACACAGAATCCGAACCAGGCTCCAGGCTCTGAGCTGTCAGCACAGAGTCCGACTCCGGGCTCAGACTCATGAACCACGAGATCATGACCTGAGCCAAAGTCAAGACGCTTAACCGACTGAGTCACCCAGAAGCCACCCCCGCCCCCCTGGCCTTTTAACACCATTGATTTAGTCCCACCATCTAGTGAAGAAACAGGTGTGGAGAAGGGACCTTGAGCAGATCCATCTTCTCTGTGTCTTTCTTTGGCACAGGGCCCCGAACGAAGCTGTGTGGCTGGGTGGTGCAGAGGAGCAGAGGGAAGAATAGAATGTAGTTTTCTTGCCCCCAGGATCTCAGTGCAGAGGGGGGAGACGCCAACTCATACCATCCCCTCCAACAGATGGCAGACTGTAATGGCTGCTAGTATCCTGATTCCAACTGTAACAGAAATAGCAGTCCCAGTTTGGGGGTGTATGAGGGAGGTTGGCATGTGACTGAACAGGCTGTAACTGCGTAGCACCTGGAGGGCAGATAGGACTTCAGCAGAATGGCAGGAGGCAATCGCCGGGCGTAGCAGAGCACGTGTGTGGCTGAAAAGGAGCCGGAAGGGAGGTCTGGTTTGGGGAAGGCAAAACGTGGGGTCACAAAGTCCTGAGTTTCAAATCTCCCTCAGCCTTGAAATTTGAGGCCAACTGCGGGCACGTGGCTTTGCCTCTTTGAGTCTCTGTGGTCTCCATTTTCCCACCTTTCCCACAGGGTTAATCCCTCCTCTGAGTATTGGCTCTGAATGTTGAGGAAGTCGTGCCTGTGCCTGTGTCTACAAGCCCAGGACGTGGCGTGGAGTGTGTGGTCAGGAAGGAAGTCTCGCATCACCCCTGTGAATGGGTAGAGCCCTCTGTCTTCTGCCTCACCAGGCTGCTTCCATTAAGTGCAGGAAGAGGAGGCAAGCCAGGTGCAGAAGGTGAGAGAGCACCATCTGGTCTGTTTTCCTCTCCATGTACAACACCTCTTTCCAGCTTCACGGGAGGAACTGTGGGCAACTGCCACCGAATGGTCCACTCTCATGATTTGCACTGAATTGACCGTGGTGCTCCATATCTCAACTACCTCCTGGAAGAGGCGCCATTATTACTGCCTCGTTCACATAGTGGGCGTGTGGAGATGGGCAGACATCAGTGAAGGAGCCAGGGCTCTGTGTGTTTGTTCCTCTCTACCCTACTGACCTCCATAGCCAGGCCAAGGGCAAACAGACCTCTGTGGGACCTAGCAAACCAAGCTGAGCTAGGAGCTGCTGAGCAGGTCGAGGAGCTCCTAGCTCCCTCCTTTTATGGGAAGGGGTTATAGGTGAGGGTGGTCTCTTGGCCCCAACACCTCCACCCCGCCAGGGCTTCCTGGTTGGCCATGCCCCAGCCTCACCCTCTAGGCCCAGGCTGGCTTGTGCAGCCTCAGGGAGGGAGCCCAGTCTGGGGAGAGGAGGCTCACACATACACATTAACCCTTTCTCTGCCAGGCAAGGAACATTTCTGAGGCAATGTGGTTAGATGCAAGTTCTTTATTCTCTTGATCCTTCATTCTCTCAGGAAGCCCCTCCTTAGGTCTCTTGGGCACTCCTGGGTTGAGCACTGGGGATAAAGAGGCAAGTCAGACCGAGTCCTTGCCCTGGACATGCTCACCACCCCTGGGGGGACTGAAAGGGGGGCCCACGATCACTGCTGTGCTGAAGGACCTGAGAATGTGTGCAAGCCCTGGGGAGATGCCAGGAGCAAGAGACAAACTGTAGCCCCAGAAACAAAACATCCTCTCTCCTTCTGAATGGTCATTCGTTCATTCATTCATCGTTTACTCGGCCTGGGCCCTGGGAAGGCAGGGATGACCCAGACTGTTCTTGAGAATCTCAAAACCGGTGAGCCGTGAGGATGGGCACATATTCGACTTT